CGTAAGGCCTGCACTCTATTTTTCCACCCAGCTCTGTCCCTTGCTGCTGTTTTGGCTTCATCCCAGCTCCTCCACCCTACCCTGTTCCGATCTTTTAGTACTATACTCCTCCATGTTATCTTTTGTTTCCCCTTTGCACTGCTTCCATTTGGTGGTGTCCACTCCCAAGGCTGTCAAACAGTCATTTTCTTGCTCTTCCCTTATAAGTATATGCCCAATCCATTTCCATCTTTTTTGGCCTATTTTACTACTAATGTTCTCACCTTCTCCCACTTCCCTGACCCTCTCATTTGAAATCTTCTCCCACCATTTAACATTATTTACTCCTCAGGATCCAGTTTTTCTCATCGTTGGTCAATTTCCATAAAATAATAACAAAACAGGTTCAACTAGCGAGTCAAACATTTTTAGTTTCGTCTTCCTTCCAAGTCCTCTCACCGACCAGACCCTCCCTAAACTACTTTTAAACACACCACGAGATTTCTGAATACGGTTGGCAATGTCCTTATCTCCACGTCCTTCTGTGTCTGCTGTTGCTGCTAAGTATATAAACTCATCACTAGTATCCTCAACCTGGTGATAGTTGTACAAAATCATTATTCCCTGAAGAGGTCTACGTTAGAGAGACGAAACAAGTACGAAATTAAAAACGTTTACAGCTTATATTCTAAGAGTTCTCCTTAGTGCTGCTCACATAGTCATAGTTGAAAAATAAAAAAAATAATTTTCCAATATTTGAATCATTTTTGTTGAAGGGGGTCGACCTGAATTTTTACCATCAATGGGAAAGGGGGGTCCGAAAAAAAACTAATTCTATCAAGAGGGGTTCTGAAAATTTTTGTCGACTAAAAGCCATTTCTCCTCCAACCCCCCCCCCCCCCCCCCGGAATAAATAATGACTGGTCCCTAAATACATTTACTTCACAACCCAATACAATGCAACAGAATTTTGTTCCAACAGATAAATCTTAAAAAATTACATGAAGATAAATTTGAAAGACAATGTGTAGGGTGCCTTAGAACAACCTGAGAATTTTTACAACCAAGCTCCGACACACCCTCGACGCTAAATTGATTAAACTAGATACTAATATATATTCCTGACAGTTTGTAAACCGTTTCCTTACGCACACTACAGAAAAATTATTATTTTTCCAATTTCATAATTAAACAATCATCATCCGATATCACACAATGCTATCATATGAATAACTGAAATTCATGATATATCTAAGTATAATTTACTTTATTAATTTACTTTATTAAAACTATATAATATAAGCTATACATGCTACTGTATTATATTACTATCATAAATAGCTTCTGTGCACTTGTTATAAACAAACTTGAAATGACTCGAAATCTTGAGTCTTGCTTCTTTATCCAAAAGTTCAGCCAAAGAACAAGTACAATCCTTTTCATCTTGAATGTCTTTTATTAGATCGATGATCACTTTTTATTAGATCGATGATCACTTTAGTCAACACTATCAGATATACAATTGGCATTGAGAACTGTCATCAGTGATCTTTCCATGAGAAATTGTTGCATACGGCCCAGTTTATTGTAAGCGATTTCCTGCCAAAGTAGAGTAGCCATGTTCAGTTAGATATACACAAAACAAACAAAAGTTTTCTAGTAGCATATGTTGTTCTTCAGCTTTTAATTTCACTAGGAATACTTACTGAAGCTGGACAAGTATCTTGCATAAGTCTGTAGCCTCTATCTGTTCGCACAACAGGCTGTGAAATAATGGAATTGAAAATGCATCACTATAAAATGACAGAACCAAAGTTTTGCAAATGTGAACGACTCAGTTTATCCCGGCAATTTATTTACAACTGATTCCTGAATACACATAGACAGACGCAAATTTAAGTCATTTAAAGAGGCTGTTTTACATGTTAGCAGCATTATTCCGAAAGAAACAGTCGTTTTCACGAAGATTACATCATGGTCCTTCATGAAAATGGCGCAGCATAGTTAACATCATGTCATGGCAGTCTTCAAATGTATCGACCAATTTCAATATACAGTACTGTACTTACAGTTTGATAGGCTGGTTGATTTGTCTCCTGCATAAGCCTATGTCCTTTGGCTGTATAAACAGCTCCTTGAGGCGAAACCTAGAGGCAATTTTCGATAGTAAGTTATCATTTATATTTACAGCAAGCCACGTCTCGATCTAACACTGTTACTGCCTTTCTTCTCTTTCTCCTTGGCATTTTTAACAAGAAAAATATACTTTGCATGACATCGATTACTAATAAAACAACCAAAAAGTCTTGCTTACTGGATTATTTTTCATGATAGTCCAATCGTCTGTTTTTAATGCTCAACTTTCGCTTTATAGGACTAAATGTACCCTGATGTAGCGTTCCACCTCTTCCCAGTGTACCATAATAGACCCAGTCTCCAGTGCACCAAAACGTGGTCAGAATTCTGCCATTGGACAAAACTATCACGTGAGCTATAACACCTCGTGTGCTATATTAGTTTATGTCTATATGTTTCATGTTTCACCAATATCTACGTCTACACTTTCTCTCAAGACCCAAGTAATCTTGTGCAATGTAGCTGGGTCTGCACAGTACCATGGAAATCAACTATAGACGAGTTACCTGTTACGAAAAAGAATGTTTCAAAATTCTTAAACTCAATGCAGCTATGTTATGTCGCTTAAAAAAGTTTCTTATGTAAACAAAGAAAATATGCGACGCACTCTTATTAAATATCATTAAAATTACCCAACTCACCATCATTTAGCGTTGATCTGTTCCTTAGTTTCTTCACTAGCTTCTTGGCTGTCATAGGTGCCGTGATGATGCGTTCTAAAAATAAAACTTTCTAAAGTTCCCGGAAAGTTCTTTCCTTGGTTGCTGATTTTCTCGCATCATTCTTTGAGTTCCATTCTTCACTAAATATTATAAAAAACGTTGAGATTATCATTGAAATAAGAATGCGCTGTAATTTTTTGTCAAAAAAGCTGCAAAACTTGATTCTTGAGTTGGTATGCAATTTATCCTTACATGACTTCTTGCGCGGCTGAGGAGCAGGCTCAGGAGCCTTTCTTATTCTGTCCTCCCGTGTTGCTAACCACATCATTTTAGTCTTTTGGCTCGCTGTTTATACTTTACGTATATGTCTTGAAGCGAAACTTCTTGGTACTTATTCCTCTTGAATGATGTAATTCCATGTTCTTAACCTACAAAGAGAACCAACAGTTTGAAATTTCAATACGAGTTTGACAACTGATTTGTGATCGGCAAGGCTTAAAATCATTTTTATGACGAATCAAATACGACTTTTAGGCGGCCCCCTCAGCCAGTAGATTGATTAAAATGAGTGACGTCTGAAACTTCTTGATCACTGCGTTCACCACGCATGAGTCATAAACCCCCTTCTTACCAGTTAAAATGTTTTTCGTTGTGTAAAAATCGACGATTTAATCAGTCGCTTCTGAACATCTGGAACATCCGTATGAATTTAGTGTACTAGTGAAACGCACCCGGCCGTTCAAAAAAATGCCGTGCGTCATTTCTTATTGGCCTGATTTGTACAGAATATCCGCTTCATCAATACTTCATTGTAATTTATTATACTATTGTTTACAGACCGTGATCATTGTGCACCAGAGATATATTACGATTTTATTAGTTGTTATTTGGTTCTAGAAATAGTACATTATTGAATCTCTTCTCCATGTAAATTACAGGTTTGTCTAAATCCTAAAGTTGTTTAAGATAAAAACAAAAATTGTCGAAAGATATAGCGGTCGAAAGACTTCATTCAGATCTGAATGTTACCTGGTGTTATTCATGGACTATCAGCCAACCTTTAACATATAATATTCACTTCACTTATCAAACTGTGTGTTTATTTTTAATAATTTACATCTCTATGGAAAACATATTCCTTGGAAACATGCAGATATCTAGAACAACTACACTCCACTGAATTTTAGAAAGAAAACAAGTAACCTCAAAAAGTGTTAAATAGTCTATCAAGACAAAACGCTAGTCGATCTATATCTCTTTCACTACAGGTATGTGACTTAACTTCAACGTATTACAAAGTCCAAATCTTTAATACTATGTATTTCCTAAAACATCTGTTTAGTATTGAATACCAAAACTAAAGTTGTTTTGAAACTTTATTGAATTCATCAACTATTTGCCTCCATTCATAGGAACCGGGTCAAGCAATACCCAATCATGGGTGTCTGTTAGTCATGTGACTTTTTTTGGGCTAAGCTCCATAGTACATATCACAAGCCCGCCATTTTGAATGGCTTTGCAATGTATCATGGGATATATATCTCCCTTTCTTCATCAAAACAAAGCGATAAAATCGTAAAAACACTAATTAGTTTCGATTTTTCCACASACAAAATATGTTTCTTTTCATTTTTGCTTGATTCGCCTAGCAAATGGAAATTCTCGATTAACTGTACATTTTTGGAGGTTTTTCTTTCTGTATTTCCTTGCATGTTGATATTTGCTTGTTTTTTCGCTTCTGAGATTAACTACAATATCAATATTTCCCAATGTTTTTCRWAAACTKAGTCYACRTTACAGACAAYTGGAGCACTGACATCGTTTTTCACTTGTTTACTCATTTATCAATCCCAAAATGCATTGCGTCACAAGGCTCTCCGCGGGTTGCTATATGGACTTTTCTCTAAGACCGAAAGATAGCATGGGATGGCAAATAGGTGACAACATCTTCAAATAAGAGCACATTCCTTCGGAAAAAAGTCACACGGTATTGTCATCGAAGGCGATGATTTGTTCACGTAATGTCCTGATTCTATATAGCCGCCGATTTCCAGGAATTCCGTTTTTGCAGGAAATCCAGATAACTAATTCCTTAATTCCTTTTTTGTCTTTTGATCTCTTCTACCTTGTCCTCTAGCTAATCTGTTTTTCCAGGAAATCCAGATACGTAATTCCTTAGTTTTTGTGTTTTCGATCTCTTCTACTGCCTTGTCTTGTAGTTAATTTGTTAGACACCACTTTGTTCGAATCAACGATTTCTTTCCAAAGATGACGAAGTTGTTTCACATCGCTTCCTTCTTTGCAGAGCAATATCCTGACCATACTTCGCAATCCCTGGTTAAAATCTTTACTGAATTGAAAAAACACTACAGGATTTAAACAACAATTAGCGTAGGTAAACCAATGGCATATCATCGCAACATATACAGACTTTTTGTACTTGTAGCCATCAGCAAAGTCCGACCAGAGCCAGAAAACCTGGTTAGGTAGCATGCAAAGAACAAAAATTATCACAATTGTTGAAAACATCTTGGTAACTTTGCGGTTAATCTCTCGTCGAATAAGGAAACTTCTTCTCACACTTGGAGTGATGCTGCTAGTTTGTTCTTGAGCTTGTTGGATCTGTTTTACGGTACTACTCGAGTGGTAGAGGCTGGTCGCTGAGCGTGTATACATCCATAGCATGAATAGCAAAGGGAGTACGAGTTTTCAAACCAGCTTTTATTGGCCCTCCGAAACTCAAAAGGAGACTGGAACGAGTTTGAAAACTGTCCATTCATCGAGTACTGAACCTCGCCACATAAAAGACCACACACTATAATTAGTGTTCTTGTCAAGTTTGAGACTATTTAGTTAAATACTCGATCACCAAGCAGGATTTTTTTTAATAGTGTAAAAATAAGAGAGAATGTATAGTTTTTGGGAACGCTGCTTTAGAGCTCCATAAGTTCTTTGTAATTTTTTCGAGTTTGAAACGCTTGTAACTCTGTAATTATTAATCCGAATACTCTCAAACTTACCAGCTATACTAATTTTAGTATGCTCTTTCTTGTGCTGGTGTCTGTTGTTTGATTGCTTCAAACGGTATCGAGTTTGTGACTAGTCACCAGTCCCTTTATGAATTTCGGAACAGGCAATTGTGTTGTCCATACTGGTTTCAATCCACTTCGTGTTTTTATTTGTTTAATGTTTCAATATTTACAGGAATGCAATTCATGATAAATAACACACTTAAGACCAATTTTAAAACTCGTACTCGTACTCAATCTCGTACTCGTTGCCAAATCTGAAGTTGTGGATTGGCTTTTGGAACAATATAACTGTCAACACATTTACAATACAATGCGTTTGTAGATAAACAGACGCTGACCACGTCTGGCTTGCTGACTGGATATCAAAATATTCAAATCGTCAAAGTTATTCATAACTTTATTTTGAAAAAATATTTCGAGACCATTACTATTACGACCAAATACATGAGTCCATAAAATAACTATATCCTGCCGTAAGAGCTATGGTGGTTTTGTTTTAATAGTCATATTTTGTTTTGTGAAACAACGCAACGAGTAACCCAACCATAATCTAATATACAGTGTGATCTGAATATGAAAGTACTTGCAGATTACCTTAAAACATTCCATAGTGTAGCAT